TGGGTATTGTCCCCTGATCGCTATTAAAACGTCTGCAGGTTTACACTGGCTTCACTTTTCATGTCCAACTTTTGTACAGCCTATAGTTAGGACCTTCTTCCAGACAGTAGGAGGTGTATGAGAGTAACTTTCCACATTCTGCATGTATATCTCTGTGTTCAACACAACAAAATGGAGCAAAAACATGTTTCAAACAGGAATAGTGGTGCACTGACAGCACATTGTTAACCCAATTCAAGCACCAATGGCAGCTGACAAATTCTACAAATTCTACAAATTCTATGTTTCTATATTCTAATTTTCAATTCCATTTGTACTCCTGCATTTAGAAAAAAGCACTTCTATCCACATCAAGATTTGCTAACAGTTTGTTTAAAACCTGCAGGGTTTTATTCTCATTACCTCATTCTGACACCTAAAACTGACCTGAGGCTCGAGGCTCCAGCCGATAAACAGTTACTCACTGTTTTTGGAGCTTAAATGGATATTTTAGTTTTTATTTTTGTCATATAGCAGCTGCTGAACATACATTGACTCTTTTATGTTTTCATATTGGAAGGCGATTAAATGCACACTGGCTTTACGGCCCTGCGGGTAGCTGCTTCACACACCAACTTCCCTGAATCTCATCAGCTCAACTCCAGTGACAAAGCAGCTCGCTGCTTCGGCTAACAAGTCATCCGAGCGCCGTCGGTTGTTAAAATATGTATCTCTACTTTGTTGTCATTTAGTGCCACCTCCATAATGAACAGTGAACTGTCTCCGTGGAGAATTGAGATGTGAGGCTCAGGCTAAGAACTTGCAGCTGGGATCCCTCCATCTCTGCAGTCTTAACTTATTATGCTGCTGTGGTTTATGGTCCGTGCATGATGAGTGTGCTGCTGGGTCACGCTGAGCGAGATAATCACAGACAGAGACAGATACAGAGAGAGAGAGAGAAAGAGCCTAGCCAAGGAAAAGAACCACAAAGCAAAAAATAATGAAAACTGAGAGAGATCGACAGAAACACTGACTGTAACAGTGGCAGTTATTTTTTTAAATATTCATGCAATACTGGCAGGCCACTGCCATGGCACGACTTGTATGTATTTTCTAAGCTTTAAGTATGTGTTAGTAAACAGCCTTATCATTTAAAAGCTTCCATAAATCACTGATTTTTCCTGTCACTGAACATGTGAGACTCACTTTAAAAGCTAATTCAAGGCAAACGGACAAATCCTGAGATGGAGATCCATGATGCAGTTAGCTAAGCAGCTGTTCTAGGGAGTAAATTTCACTCTTAGTCAAACATGAAGAGAAATGTTCAGACTACGGGTTTTGAACCTGTGGCTCTGAGCCTCACGCAGCTATTTGTCAGTCTCCAGTGGTGATCACCGCAGCTTTGACAAAAAATAAAAAGCTGCTGTTGGCTGCTCCCTTGTCACAGAGGGTAGCGCCGCATGTTTCATCTGGCAGATTTTTTACGCTGGGTGCTCTTCCTGACAGAGATGGATAATGTTTTTCTTTAACAGTTAATTATCATTGCTGCCAGTGATTCTTTACATTCTAATTGTAACATGTATGCAATAAGCAGTAATAGCTCCTGCACGCTGTCATTGACAATGATGCTAATTTCTTCTTTCCCAGCTTTTACTGTGGGTACACCTCCTCGCACATAAATACGTACATGTGGAGCTGACAAGACGCAGCTGCATTGCTGTTTGTTCATTCATTTGATGACAATATGTTATGTTATTTTAAGTGCAATAGCTAAAAGCTTCTCAAAAAGTGTTAAAGCAACCAGGGCAGAGCTGAATAACATGTCGACACCTTCCACTGTTCATGCGTCACTTGTGCTTCTCGTACAAGTAAACTGCAAATGTGTGATGGTCTCATTCTGACAAGAAAATCAAGCTGCCATCACAAGTTTTGCCAGATTTTTTTGATAAAATAGTTCCTTGTTGTTGTTTTGTTGTGAGAAAAGAAAAGCAACATTTGAAAGATTTGCTTTTTCAATCAGAGCTCCGTTATAAGGGGTGTTTTGCAGCCACATCACAAATTAAGTGTTTGAGTTGTTTCAACCAACAACAACTACAAATAGAGACATCTTATTCAAATGTGGGATTGTTGTGGGAGGCCAAGCGCTCTGTTGCTAATAAACCCTCAGATAAGCATTGCCAACAGCATTTACAGATACGCAGCACACCAGAATAGACTTTTTCACTTCTACTATCTTTGTCTCAGGATTACAATTGCACATATTACGTGTTAGACTGCAAATCTTCTGGATTTCCCTGTTAGCTTTCTTGCACGTGCAAAGGTGGCACAAATGGCTTGTCTGTTATTCCTGTGATACCGATGGCAGGCGACTCCACATACAGCTCCACACACCTTCAAGCTGAGCTGGAAAATGTGCAGAAACACATCTATAAGGGAAGCAAGGTCTCTCAGAAAAAAAAGATTTTGGGTCATAAAGTATTAACAAACTGTTTTCAGCTTCACGTGGAAGGACTCAGTGAGCAGGGAGGACACATGCAGAGCGGGAAAGATGAAGAAATGCGGAGGCATGAATTGGAAGAACAGTGATGGCGCAGTGAGACATCCTCTTTGATCCAGGTGTAGAGAAGAGATTTGGGTAGAGGAGGACAAAGAGAAAGACACTCGAAAGGAAAACAAATAGAGACGCATCTCTTCAGTAGGACAAAGGGAGTGGAGAGACACTGGCAGGAAACAAAAGGAAGGCTAAAAGAAAAACGCAACAGGCAGAGAGACAAGTCGGACAAGGAGGAACGGATGGAGAGTTCGCACCACATCTGAGTCAGAAGCAGCAGGAAAGCGAGGAAACAACTGAAGGAGAAACACAGCAGGTGGAAAAAGAGAGAGAGCCTGATATTTTGGTGAAGCTCTAGATGTTTTATTCAAGGAGGAAGGATGGAAACTACAAAGCCATCTACTCTAACTGCTTACACACGGCTTTGTCTACACTCTTTCCACAACACCATTTATCCATCATCTGTCTGCAGAGTGTGTCTCTTTCCTTACCTCATTACTGTTAGACAACAAAATCACACACAAACTGAAAGAGACTTTTTATGCGCCTTGTTGCTCCTGGTAGTCTACAAAGGGTGAAACATTAGGATTCTCTCTTTGCTTTTATGTTTAACTTGGTATTTCCACTCAATGATGTTTCAAATTATATAGAGACAAATAAGTTTCACAGAACTGTTTCTACTACTGTGTCTCAGAAATCCTAAACCTACAAATATGCAAATATCCATTTCAGAAGATGAGATATTTCATTATTTCACTTTGCACTTGTCTAAGTGGCTCACTCATATATCCTATACTGGGGTCTCAGTGCAGCCCATCACAGTCCAGCCTCTCTCCTTCCCTTAAGCAAAGAAAATTCACTTAACAGGGGAGAAGATGAGGACTAGCTGCTCCTTGTAAACAGAAGGTTTGAGATGATATGATATCGGCTCTCTAAAACAGCACACAACCCCCCCCCTTCAGCGGATGAAAAGTGAATCCAGCCTTCTGGTGTCAAAGTGCCCATATATCATTCTGCACAGTGAAGCTCAAACATCCAAATGCATTAATAAGCACAACACTTCATGTATTTTCATGACTGCGCCCTTCTATCAAGTGGAAATATTCAGGATGTCTAGTGCATGCTTGCAACACTCAGCCTGACAAATGTGGTGTCTTTGGAAACTTTGAGGTCTCCACTTGAATTTCAAATAAAGCTCTGCGAGTGTGAGCAATGTTTGGCTGCACAGCAAGAGTTTCTAATGACTGTGGGATTCAGGGGGTCAGTGACTGTAAATATGGACGCGAGAGGAAAAGGGAACACGAAAAAGAAAAGTGGAGGACTTGCAGAGTAAAAGAGCTATGGAGAAGAAAGTGAAGATAACAATATTTTACACAAATCACGTCTTTAAGAGTGTAAGGTAGGAAAGCTATGAAATAAGAAATGAAAAGAAATCACTGAGCTGCGAGAAAAGAGAACAAGACAGGAGGGCGGGAGAGTCATTTTGCCATCTGTTTCCAATGTGTACAAGCGTATGGCATCTCCCTCTCTGCTCCTTTTGTCCATCTCTCTCCCCTTCGCCTCTTCTTTCGGGCAGAGGAAGATAACAGCAACGCCCAGCTTCACATTCCCACAATGACACATAACTAGAGACCTGGAGACTCACTAATGCTCAACTCAGACATGATTCAGTGATGAAAAGTGACATTTCTTCACCTAAGACGCAACCCAGCATCCTCTCAGTCCCAAGCCCACATCTACTGTACAAGCTGCATTCAACCTCTCTCTCTCTCTCTCTCTCTCTCTCTCTCTCTCTCTCACACACACACACACACACACACACACACACACACACACACACACACACACACACACACACAGCTTCACCCACACTCTTGTACTCCGGGCAGGCTCAACATGCTTTGCCAAGCACAAAATTAACCAGAAAGCAAACACATAACCTTGCTGTATGGAGTGGATGAACTCGATTCAGTGGTTATCATAAAGGCTTCAGCCTACAGAGGTTTGAACACACAGCTGAGACCTTTTACTGACAAACACTGAGCTCTGTGAAACCTTCTGGGCTGCAGCATCCTAAATACAAAGGTTTTCAGGAGGCACTGTGAGTCTGAGAATCAGGAATCTTTGGAAAGATGTAATACAAGGGGCTTAATCACAAGGGGAATGTTTTCTAGAGAAGTTGACTTGTGCAGGAGGCTTAAATGTTGCTCTAATAAAAAGGGCAAAAATATCTTTAAAAACAATCTACTTCTTTAATTTCCTCTGATTGGCAACGAAGACGCGCTGAAAGCTGATGAAGAAGAAGAAAGCTCTTTATAAAGCTCGAATGTTAATTTAAAAAGTATCAAAAACATATCGGTCCCCCGTGTTTCTATCGCTCTAATCAGATGAATGGTGTCGTGTTTTAAGCAGACTCCCCGCACTTGCTGCGCTACCTGCGGGAAAAGTAAAAAACGCACAGCCGGCTCACCTTCTCCGGTCGTCCCGTATGCGCAGGAGAGAAGCAGGGCGACCTGAGCGATAATCCCAGCAACTCTTTTAGTTCCCAGATCCATGGTGAAGCGGTGAGAGGCTGCAGAGAAGCCCGGCGGCTGCTGGAGGAGAGAGACGAACGAACTCTCCTCTCCAGCTCCAAGAGAGATCTCCTCAAACCAGAACTGAAGGGGAGGAAGGGAGGCAGTGAGGGAGAGTGAGAAAGAGAGAGAGAGCGAGTCGAGGGTCTTACTACACGTTCCCAGCGGCAGCTTCCGTGCGCCTCCCTCTCCTCTGAAAGCTCTTCTTCAGTCCATCGATGTTTAATAAGCACAGTTTCAAAAGCCCTGCGCCTTGCAAGATTGGGTCCTTCAGTTCCAATGGGGTAATAAATCCTGCCAGGCAGACTCGTTTCACGTGAAATGCACATCCACACACAAATCCACGCCTTACTCAACACTTCATTTTTATGGTGTGTGCATTTTAAATCTCACTAACTCGAATGCTTTTTATTTACAAAAAGTAAAGTAGTTGTGCAAGCGCCTAAATCTGTGTACATTTGGAGCAAGTTGTATTCCCGTGTGGGCTTAAAACGTGCGCACAGCTGGGGAACAAACATTTAACACAGTCACATTAGTTTAACAATAAATATAAACAAGCAATACAAAAAGTGCATAAGAATGAAGGCGATGTGTAATAGCTAATAAAAAAAAAGGCTGTCATTACAACGTTCAGCTGTAAAATCTCATATAAAGCTGTATTTACATTTCTTGGGGAGAAATGAGGGGCAACATGTGTACAACTCCAGGAAGTACTGCCAAGACCCAGGCTAACCGAATCAGCTAGTGACTGTGCTTTACATTTGCTACCACACAAAGAGCTGAGCATCATCAATCTTCTCACCCAGCTCTGTAAGTAATCAAACAAGCATATTTTCCACAATCTTTGATTATCTCGTTGTTTTAAGTTGATTTTTTCAATTGTCACCAAGACATGACAAGTGTTTGCATTAGCATCTCATTACTGTCTTGAAAATGTATTCCACAAGTGCCCTGTACTTGGCTGTCTGGGGAACATTGGTGCTCATCTCTTTGAGATGCTGCAGATACATTAGAAGAACAGGTGGCACCCAGCGAAGGTGAGTCTGCAAAAGGAAAATTGTGGTATAAGCATACTTAATGTATTTGTGAGACAAGTTCACCAAACTAAAGCATGCTCTGCTTTGTTCTCCTTTTTAAGTCAGATGGAAACCATCATTTATAACATGATCCTTATTTTAAATAAGCTTTGTGACTGAGACACTTCTGTGGCCATAGATCAGTGAGCAAAGGGTTGCTTTCCCATAGACCTCTATAAAATCTGACTTGTTTTTAAACCCGAAGACGTGCCCCCTTCTGGCAACTGGAAAAAATAATGCAGGTTTTAGGCACATATGTGCTAGCTTCCCTTTTCAAATGCAGAAGCTACAGTGTCCATCTTTATTTTAAACTGAAGAAGAATATCAGCCTGTGTGTGGTTTTTTTTTTTTTAAATGACATTGTGCTACAGAGGGTACTCTGGATACATGGTCAGTGATTGTTGGGTTGTCAGTTGGGTTTTCATCAAACCAGGCAACAGTCGGGCACCATGTTGTGGAAACTCCTGTTCTGGAATAGCTAATATGGATATCTCCCAATTTGAATTTAAACAATAACAATGTTCTCTTTGAGCAAAATGGCAGCTGTCAAGTATTTCCCCTCTATCCACGACAAAACAGACAACAAGAAAACCTGGCCTTTTTTTGACCCTGCGCCAAACCAGAAAAACTCTTTGCCCATCGGTTCCAGAAACAACTGCTCTGCTAACAACTTGAATGATGGTGCTGATCAGCAGCTCGAAGCTCCGGCAGCCTGGAAGACATCAAACATTTTGCCGGTGCCTGATTACCAGCCTCTGGATGTTTTCAGTGCGGCAGAAGAAGATCCTACTGTAGCGTCATGGAGCGAGGCGGATGATATCTGTGAGCTCTGCATCAGGCTCAAGGAAATTGAGCTATGCAACATGATAGGAGAGACAACGAGCAACCAGGAGAGTGAGTGTGATAGCAATTACCTGTGATGTTATTAGACAACTTAATAGCTCACTTTAGAGCCACGGGAGTTAACACAGTTGGTTATTCTGCAGTTTTGATGAGTATCATCATTAGTATAACTAAACTAAATTAGTATCATTTAGTCGTCTGAAACTGATAAAGGAAAAGAGCAGAAGAGATATATGAAAAGAAGTGAAGCTGTGAAAACAATTGTAATATATTGTGCACAAAACATTCTGTTAGTGCTAAAAAGTTTTCAGATCCTACATAATATGACTGTCAAAGTACTACACATCACACGTCAGAGTCCTGCACTAAAACTGCTGCAAGTTAATGTTTTTAAATATGATAATAAATGGTTTAAAATAGTAAAAATGAAAAATGCTCAATTTAAACAATATTTTTAAATGTGAAGTTCACCTGTATTTTTCATAGATGAGACCTAGATTAGATCAGTTCAATTTAAAGTCTGCCAAATGGCTTATAAATTAATTGACTTGTCACTTTAGTTTTACATGTATTTATTCTCAAGTGGTTTTAAATAATAACAGAAATATTTAAGGTCTGTTAAATGTAGGGGGGTTTAAAAATGCATTTATTTCACAGTGAAATGTAGAAGCTTGGATTAAGTGAAAATATATAATATAATATAAAGAATTTTATCCCCTCTAATGCTTATTTAAGTGAAATTCTTGCAGTATGTGATGCATTACGGTCTCTCTCTCTCTTTCAGAAAAGTTTCTGAGGAACATTGGGTATTACTGGGTCAAGCAGAAGAGGAGAAAAAGGAAGTAAAAATCTCAGAAAGACAAAAACATTAAAATGAACTGCAATGACAAGCAATTACGCTTTTGAGCTGAAATGTTTTTCTGTTTGTGTGGGTTCTCAGTTTAGCCACTTGACTGCTTTTGCTACTATGTGCATCTTTGTCCATCAGTTTTTATCATTATACACTAAAACACTGTGTAAACACTGGAAACCTGCAAAACCACAAAAATTGTAGTATCACACTGAGGGAAAGAGGAACGATATCTGCATTTAACAACTGCTGGTCATCACCCAGTAATGACTTAGCTTCCGAGGGCAGAGATGTGATTTCCTAAACTGGAAGTCTTGAAATATTGGACCCCAGGAGCTAAATTACAATTAAATCAGGATGGCTGATGGATTTCCGAACCCATCAGCTAGTCTAATGGTTTTATCAAGACATGTGAATGTGATATCAGAAGCAAGTTTTGTAACTTGGCAATGATCTTGAAACTTCCTATCTAGTAGAATGGGGAGACAGCTTTTATTTCAGTGGTCACTGCCACGTGAAATATAAAGTGTGGTGGACTTTAAAGAAAACTGCTTTAAAACTTCGCTTATTTTGGCCACCAAAAGTCTTTTCCCTCCACCAGTTATATTCCTACTGCACTGTTTCACAACATTACACCTTTATTTACTGCTCAAACCAGAGTGCTGACATTAAAAGTGTCTCGGCTTCTCCCACAAAAACAACAACTGGGATCAAATACCATGCTTATTTGCATGATGGATACAGCAAGCTGATAAAAATTAAAGAACACTACAGTTACCTACAGCTTAGTAATCATGTTTAAAGATGTAGAAATGTGCCAGTTGTAACGATCTGCTTTGCGCATGTATCGGTGTAGCAAGAAAATTAGCCAATATGTTTCCCATTTGACGCTTGATTGGCTTTTTGGGGGGCAGGGGTGAGGCAACAGGCACTCAGAATTGTCCCATGGATTTTTATTCACGATTCTTTGAGCCATGTCTCCTCCTCATACACTGAAAAAAAGGCCATGTTGGATTTACTTGATTCAATAATGGACATTGGTTGCACACAAATGTTTTGCTTTGGGAGAAACTTAAACAACTGAGTTAAATCAACACAACTTTTTCATATTCAGTAAACCTGTGCATTTTGTGTTCATAAAACGCGATTGAAACATGTTCAGATGAAGTAAGTTGAGCTCCTGGAATATTTTAATTCTTCACAATTTTGTCATTTCATTTCAACACTATTCAATAACTTTTACCCCAATACTACTTGGTTACTTAAATACTACATGCTGTCTTCATATTACATAATGTTCAACAAAGTCTAGATCCTGGTTACCATAAAAATTTAATGGGTCTTCAACAACTACCATCCTTCTATCTTTATCCTGGTTGCAGGAGGGCTGGGAAATAACCCTGAAGTGATAGGTTACGGTGCAGGGTACACCCTGGACAGCTGAGCAGTCTATCACATAGAAACAAACAACCATTTACACTTACATTCACAGATAATTTAGAATCACCAGTTTACCCTTACTCTAATAACTGCATGACTTTTAACTGCGGGAGGAAACCAGAATACCCAGAGAGAAACCTGCAAACTAGCCAGAATGTGGATTTGAACACAGGACCTTCTTACTGTGAAGCAACAGCACTAACCACCATGCCAACAATCTAGGAAATGTAGGAAAGGTATGATTTCCTGTATTTGATGCAGAATTGTTTTGTTTTTGTAATAATACACAATAAATAGCAATAGCATGCAGGTGGTGCGTGTGTAGGTCTCTGCCTCTTATAACTCCAGTGATTTTCCTGCAGTTTGAAATCTTGTGCAATCTTGTGAATTTCATGAGTTCAGCAACTAACCACTCTTACTAGATTGTATCATGTCGTCTCAACAAGAACAAATTAAGTTGTTGACTTTCGTACAGATTCTTCATGATTTAATTACGTTCATAGAAACATGAAATTATTGTGTTCAAATTACAAGTTAGACTTTTTTAATGTAACAACCACCCAATTTACTTTTTTTGGTATACTAAAAAAAGTAGAGGTGGCTGCTCGACTTGACTGAGATGGATGCCTTCCTGAAACCACAATCTAAAGAGCGCGAGTCTGAAACCTGTGCAGTGTCGTGGGATTTAACATTGATATATTATTGACTTACTTCACTTGAACATGATATGACCAATTTAATCTAGCCTCTCTGCATATCATGTAGTTTCTACACTATGTAGTTACACTTAACTTTAAAGCATGAGGCAATTGTATTAATTACACGCAAGATGCTTACGTAAATCCAAGAGCTGGCCAGTGTGCATTGTCTCAGATAAAGTATATCAACAGCTTGCGCTGTGCATGCCATTATAATCTGAAGTATCCGGGAGCTGCTGCTAATTCAAATGACAGAACAACAA